AACCCAGCCAAAGCCCATTTTCCTCGCCGGTATTACTTGTGAAAAAGAAGGATGGGTCATGGCAGTTTTGTATAGACTATAGGGCTCTGAACAACATTACTGTGAAGGATCGATTCCCCATACCGGTAATCGATGAACTACTAGATGAACTCGACCGGGCTATGAGGGTCTATGAGGGCGACAATATTCTCTAAACTGGACTTGAGATCGGGATATCATCAAATTCGGGTCTATGAGGGTGACATCCACAAGACCGCCTTTCATAAACACGAGGGTCATTATGAGTTTTTGGTCATGCCGTTTGGGTTGACCAATGCGCCAACTACATTCCAAGCACTTATGAATGACATATTTCAACCCCATTTGCGCAAATTTATACTCGTTTTTTTCGATGATATACTTGTATATAGCGCTACATGGGACAAACAACTAGTACATCAACAAATCACCGTGGAACTACTAAGGACTCATAAACTCTTTGCAAAGGAGTCAAAGTGCGCATTTGGACAGACTCAAGTACACTACTTAGGGCATGTAGTCGAAAACGGCACTGTAGCAGCAAACCTGAAAAAGATCTCAAGCATGATAAATTGGCCCCGACCTCAAAATGTTAAGGAGTTACGGGGCTTCTTGGGTCTAACAGGGTACTACCGGTGATTCATCAGAGGTTATGGATTGATTGCTGCCCCCTTGACAAGTTTACTTAAGAAGAATGGTTTCTGCTGGACTAGGGAGGCCCAACAGGCCTTTGAGATGCTCAAAACAACTGTCTTGTCCCCACCGACGCTCGCACTTCCAGACTTCTCAAAGGACTTCATCATTGAATGTGGCGTCAAGCCAAGGAGTAGGTGCGGTTCTCATGCAAGAAGAAAGGCCACTAGCGTTTTTCAGCAAAGCATTGACAACACAAAAATGGGCCAAGTTAGTATACGAACGAGAACTGATAGCAATTGTTCTCGCAGTTCAGAGGTGGCGACCCTACCTTCTAGGGAGGAGGTTCATCATACGAACTGACCACCATAGCCTGAAATTTCTGTTAGAGCAGTTCGTATTATCCTCGGAACAACAGCGATGGATAGCCAAATTACTCGGCTATGATTATGTCATTAAATACAAGGCAGGGCACACTAACAAGGTGGCAGATGCACTGTCACGCCAACCACAATTATTTCCATTACTTCTCACGGGCTCAACGTGTTTCATCATGAGTTAGTTAAGGGAAGAAGCTGAAAGACACCCACAACTGAACAAACTGCGTTCATAGGTCCAAGAGGACCTTACCAGCCACCAGGGTACAAAGTGGAGAATAACTTGTTGTTGTATAAACGTCGAATGGTGATACCACAGGATTCAACCCATATTCAACAGCTTCTTGAAGTGTTCCACTCATCACTAGCAGGAGGACACTTAGGGATTTTGCGCACTTAGAAGAGACTAGCCACTCAATTCCACTGGAAAGGCATGCGAAATTCGGTCCAAAAATTCATAGCCGAATGCGTCATTTGCCAGAAAAATAAGGTTGATACCCAGTCTCCAGCAGGCTTGCTACAACCACTCCCAATTCCTACACAAGTGTGGGCGGATATATCCTTGGACTTCATAACGGGGCTTCCTCTTTCCTATGGCAAGTCCGTCATTCTCGTAGTTGTTGATAGATTCACCAAATACTGCCATTTTCTCCCTCTTTCCCACCCCTTTACAGCTTCAATGGTGGCTGAGATTTTTACCAAGGAAGTGGCACGACTGCATGGTACCCCTAACTCTATTGTCTCAAACCGCAACCCAATTTTTATGAGTCGTTTCTGGGCAGAACGTTTTCGACTACAGGGAGTGAAACTCTTCAAATCTACCAGCTACCATCCTCAAATAGATGGGCAAACTGAGGGGGTCAACCAGAGTTTGGAAACCTATCTAAGGTGCTATGCAGGGGATAGATCACGTCAGTGGCTCAAGTGGCTTCATTGGGCGGAATGGTGGTACAATACCACGTATCACAGTGCAGCAGGAATGACTCCCTTCCGGGCTCTATATGGACGGGACCCACCTCCCCTACTCCCATATGAGAAAGGGTCTACAGCAGTAGCAGTAGTGGAAGAACAACTCCTCCAGTGGGATAGGGTGTTACAAGATCTCAAATCCCACCTCCGTCGAGTCCAACAATGGATGGTAGGCTCTTACAACAGAAAGCATAGGCCTGTCCAGCACCAGATTGGGGAGCAAGTCTTCCTTAAACTACAACCATACAAGCAAGTTTCAGTAGCAGGTCACAGGTGGAACAAACTGAGCCCAAGGTACTTCGGCCCATTTCGGATTGTGGAACGCATTGGGTCTGTGGCATACAGGCTTGACCTTCCAGCAACATCAAAATTGCACCCTGTATTTCATGTATCTCTATTAAAGAAATGACCAAAACAGGAGCAATAACAACAACCACTCTCCCATCATTCTTGGAAGATCGCCAGGTTCAAACTGAGCCCACCCAGATAACAGATTTCAGGTGGATACACAAAGGGAATCACATCGAACCAGAGGCATTGGTGGTATGGTCAGGTCTCCCACTTGAAGATGCAACTTGGGAACCTTACTTGGACTTACAAAATAGATTTCCACATCTTGACCTTGAGGGCAAGGTCGCTTTCAAGGGAGGAGGGACTGTTAAGACACAAATAAAGGGAATAGAAGGACAAGTGTACAAGAAAAGGCCATGTCAGCCTTTAAGTAATGTAACTGACAGCCAACCACTAGAACAAACTGGACAAGTGGAGAGGCTGATTTAACAGAATTGTAACGGAAGTGTTATAAATAAGGAAAGGAAGCCAGAAGAGGAGATATTGATTTTGGGAATTCAGTTACTCTCTCTCTCCCTCTCTTTTTCTTTCTCTCTTTTTCTCTCTCTCTCGTTCAGGAGGCAGGCTTCCTCGAAAATTCCCTGAGTTAGGCAGTTACCTAACACACTAGGGAGTAGAATCACTTCAATAATTAAGTTAACACTAGTAAACTATAGTGACCAAAGAACCAGATAAAGCGTTTCAAGCCAGCCAATCTGCAGCTTGATTCGATTCACGATAAGCATGTTTGAAGTTGATGCTCAAGTTGAACATGGATGAGAGACTGAGACACTCTTTGGTGATGCTTTCCAAATCCCTGCGGGGGCTTTACCTTTCCTCTGAGGCAGTCGGTCAATCACGAGCTTCGGATCTCCTTTAATGATAAGCGGGTTATCACTAGAATCTGTAGCAATTTTGATGGCTTCCCAAGCTTCGGCTAGATTTATTGATGATTAACCAATGGTATAAGCCTTGATATCAAGGACTGAGTTCTGATGGTTCCTGAAAATACACTCTATAGCGTACCAACCATCAGTTCTGTATGAGGAATCGAAGCTGATCTTAATGGTCCCAGGATTGGGGTTGAGCGAAGAGCTACCCTCATCTTGTGTAGCTCCTATATGTTTATATAAAAAAGTTAACGCTAGTAAATCTGTCAGTATACTTCTTGTCTACCTTCAAAGTGCCTATTCAAGTTGTGGATCAAATTGAAAAAATAATGAGAGACTTAACCCAGGGATTCTTAAAAGGATCATCTAGTGAAATGGGAAGTGGCTTCTAGGGAAAAGGAAAAGGGGTTTAGGGATCGGAAATGTCAGATTAAGAAACATAGCATTGCTAGGTAAGTGGGTGTGGAGATTTCGCAAGGAGCAAGAAAGCTTATGGCATAGAGTGATAGGAAGGATGTATGGATGTGCTTCAAAGAAAAAAACCAAATTAGTGCTTATCCCCACATGTCTGTAGCCTTTACTTGAAGATTGGTGAGATGGTAAATCATCTATTAATTTCTAGTCCTCTTGTTACTCATTTGGGATTGGCTCTCCTCTTTCTTTGGTCACAGGTGAAATCCTCCTACAAGTGTGGCTGAGCTTTTTGACTCTTTGGTCACAGGTGAAATCCTCCTACAAGGGCAGTAATTATTCGGGTAGCATGGAAAGAGAGGAATAACAGGATTTTCAAAGGGCAAATAAAGAAGAGTATATGAACTCATAGAAGGGTTCACCATCAAGGCTATACATTGTCTGAAATCGTTGGATCCTTTTCAAGGACTTCTCCATAGATGATTTATTTAGAGGTTGGAGCACAATAGCGGGCTCTTCCTGTTCATTTATTACCATTCAAGAGGATTGGTCCCTTCTACATTTTAGTGTGAAACTGGATTTTGATGGCATCTCTGTAGGTAATCCCTCCCCCCGGAATTGGGGGTGTTTTTAGAGATGTGGAAGGAAGACCACAATCCTAAGGCTTTAACCCTCTGTCAGTAAGAATTGTAAGTAAGAATATACCTAAGGGGGAACACCACAATCAATAAGATTTGACTACCATGTCAGTAAGAATTGTAAGTTTGTTCACCTAAGGGGGAACACCACAATCCTAAGGCTTTCCTCACTGACATGGTAGTCAAATCTTCTCCTAATGGACCTACTTCATCATTGAAAATGGTGTCTAACATCAATAGCTATCTCCTTTTGTGTCCTGTGCTTATTGGGTCAAGCAAGTCTAAGGCCTCAGATAACTGTTGGTAAAAAAATGCTGGGGCACTGAATGCCATGTGCAATGCATGAGTTGTATTTGCTGAATGCATATCATCTTGGACGTACAAGATGGTTTGTTGAACTTGTGTACTCTCTTATTTTAATCATGTGTAAGGGAAACAAACAATGAACTTCCATTTCCTAGGGTAGCCTCAGCTCGACATCTAATCAATCATTTGCATAGTGGAATTTGTGTCTAAAATATAATCATTGTAGCCACATGCTTGGTTCGATGCAAAATAAGTTGTCAAAAACAAAAATAAAAAAACTGCTAGGGAAATAGCATAGCTGTTGGATGACAGGGACATGAACTATAGCATATTTTACTGCTTAATTTTGGAGAGGAAAGGTGGTTTAAAGTCTGTAATAAATGTACGTGGCAAGAATTTGATAACATGACCGACTCTTTTACTTACAGAATTCGCATCCTGTTACCAAATTCACGGAGGACTTTGATTTCATGGCAATGAATGAGAAATTCAAGAAGGATGAAGTATGGGGTCATCTTGGTAAGAGTAGCAAGATGCAGTCGAGAGATAAAGAAGGTGATGGAAAAGAGGATGATGGATTTGATTATCAAGATGAGGATGAAGCTGGATCCTCGAAACTTGAGGTTAAGGTTAGATTACTATCATTTATAAACAAAAACTAAATGGGGAAGTTTTATGTTGAATGCACTTATTCTGGTCAGTAAATTTTTAATCAGCTCAGTTACTTCGCGTCTACTTCTCTGCAGCCTGTTTACTGTAAGGACGACTTCTTTGATTCTCTTTCTTGCAATTCACTTGATCGTGGGTCACGAAATGGAAGGACCAAGTTCTCCGAGCAGATGAAAATAGATACCGAGGTAATGTAATGTTCCATTTTGGATTTGTTCTTGACTAACAAGTTGGTTAGTTTTTTAACTGGAGCTTCTTTCTTGGTTCGTTTACAGACTTTTGGCGACTTTCCAAGGCATCGGGGTGGTCGTGGTGGGCGTGGGCCAGGCCGTGGTGGGCGTGGGCGGGGTCCCTATTATGGAAGGGGTTATGGCTACTATGTTGGTAGAGGTCGGGGTCACACATTCTCGAGTCGTGCCACCTAGTAGGGGATTGGCGTGTCATGTTGTCACCCGGTAGGGGTTTGATTGTTCCGTGTTATCTGTCGCCACTAAACTTGGAGAATTTGATATTTTGTGGAGGTTATAGGAAGAAACCACTGAAACAGATTACTAATGAGTAATGATGGAGGGCTATGCTTGTAATGTTTGTGTCCACTGCTTCATTGACTGACCGACTGTTGCAAAAATAAGCAAAGCCAAGACCAAGAAGGGATTTCCGTAGAAAAGGTGAAAATAAGCGTATATTATCATTTCCAAATGGTTCATATACTTCATACCGTTCATTGGGGTTTTCTTCGTATGGAATGCTCACGTGAGTTCTGCTGTTCATCGTTTTTTGCACATCCATAAATCCCGTCTTTATTTGGTATTAGCACAGCCCATATGTTTTGCTGTCTAGGGTTTACTAACAAATTTTAACATCCATTAGCAAGTCAGCAGGGCAACGCAACGCTCTTATCTGATTGAGTTTAATTCTATAATTTTTGATAACTGGTGTGAGATTATTTCATAGAGTGGGTTTAGGTATGACTTGAGAAAAGTTTTTTTTTTTTTTTTAAATCATATGTTTTGGTAAATTTACATGTTTTGATTATTGGAATGTATCGATCTAATAATAAGTGAATCTTTGTTTTTGTTTTTACTTTTTAGAATGAATTTGAGAATGTGAAAGTACAAAAATAAAATTTTTATGTTCCCTATGATCTAATCATAAATTGGGTCTATGGAGATTTGTTGCATCCATGGATCCATTAAAAATTTATTTAAAGAAAAACAAAATTTCTTAAATTTTGTAATGTACAAGTACAAAAATATGTAATGTACAAGTACAACTATATTCATATGTGCAATATACAAAAAGTTGCACATTGTGCGGTGTGGTTCAAATGGTTGATATGCATATTAAAAATATAATTAAGTTTCAACATTTTTTTTGATAAGAAATTTCACTAATCAGCAAAAGATGGAAAACCAGAAATAAAGAAAAACAAAGCAAGTTGGGAGAGGACAACCAAGCAATCTCACTCCATTTACTCTGATGACAACTTATTGAGTTTCAAAAAATTTTTCTTACTTGTTCAAGATACTATATTAAATACCACAATGAATAAAATTAGGTACATCAGGCAGCTGGGTAGGCTGGTGATCATACCAAAAGAAGTTCGCTTGAGTAAGCTTAACATACTGCGCAATCCTGTGCGCAGGAATGTGTAACTGTCTATTTATATATGCAAAAGGTAGCAAATTAAGTTGGGAGTTGGGACATATTAATCTTCAGATACATTGTAATATTTGAACATTGGTTCAACCATTATTTCTCATACATCTAAACATGTTCTTTAATTACAACTCTGTTTTTGAAACTGTCTACTAACTTATCAGTTGTTATTATTTAACACTAAGTATTCATTTAATTGCAATTATTAATTTTTAATTTTGTAACAATAACAACAGTATTTTGTTAACATTTTATTAATTATAATTGTTATAATAATTAATAATTATTAATAACAGTAATTATTAACAATTTAATAATTGTTATAAAAATTATTGAAATAATTAAGTATTAAACCAGCTGGTCTAACCGGATGAAGTGAATCGGTTCGAGTGTATAGCAGTTGGTCTAATCACACTTTAGGCTATGTTTGGTTTGAAGGAAAAGGTAGGGAAACGAAAGGAAAGTTGAAAAAATCTATACGAGATTTGTAAAGGTTTCTCTAACTTTCCTTTCCTTTCCCTACTTTTTCTTTCAAAACAAAGATAGCATAAAAGTAAATGGTTTTGAGGGACGGGTATCTATAATCCGACCCATTAACCACATCTTCTTAACCCGAGACACGCTACAGCGTCATTCATGGGAATGAGTGAATGACCCAACAACGAGTCTAGGGTGAGTAACTTGCGGCATATTTTGATCCCAATCCATAGGGAAGGAAGACTTTGTTGGTGATTATAATACTCTCCTATCCAACGTGAATCTATTATATTGCCAACTCTGCCGGCATTTATCCCAAACCAGCAACATCTACAGAAACATGGGATCGCAACTTTTCTTGGGTTTAAGGCTAAATTCCCCCAACTTACTGACTACTGATTCAGAATTAATGACATGGGGTTGCATTGCAGGCTGCGGGATTTAGAAATGATGGGTTGATGCTTACCTTTGTAGGCCTATTTGTTTATTTCTTTCTTGATGAAAGGACCGCGGTCGTTGTACAGGCGTCGTTGGATTTTGGGTGTTCAGGAAACACGAACGACAATGGAGAGTTCCTGATGGCTGAGCGGGGCAGCCTCCAAGGTAAATCAAAGAAGAGTTCAGATCTGTGCCCCACAACGTCCTACACTATATCCCTGCTGTGTATAGAAAATATCTCCCGATGATGATATCATCATTTTTCGCACTATCATCAGAAAATGTTCTCAATACATGGCAAGGATGTGATGTGGGACACTGCGGGGCACAGATGTAAACTCATCAAAGAGGGGCCAGGGTATGGTTTTGTAGAGATATCACGTCTATCAGTCTTATGTTATGTGATTGGTCATGAAAGAAGTGGGAAAGACTAACGAGTGTCAACTTGAGATAGGTGGAAACAGAGGGAGACTGCTGAGGTGGTTTCATGAGATAGCAAAGAAAGCTGTATCAAAAAGAAGGGTTAAGAGTTCCAAGTAAACATGTTCTACTTTAGTATATATACATAGAGAATGGTTTAAACGTAAAAGTAATTTGGTGCGCATGATGTTATCAACTGACCAACCATTTCTTTAAGAGATAGATCGGCTACTTGTATAAATATCTAAAAGTCACATATTGGGAACATTTCTTCTATTTATTGTTTTCCACGGGGAGATGTCCCATTATGCATTTGTGGTGTTATATGCACATGAATGCGATGAGCATTTTATGGTCAGTAGGTCTGCGGGGTAGCAATTTCTCAATTTTTCAAACATAAACATGAATTGTTTATTACATATATAATATGACACGATTCACATGATTTGAATTAATAGGAAATCAATTCGTTTGATTTGTTTAAATTAAATGATAAATAGATTTTTTTGGTAAATATATGATAAATATATTTGAAATAATAAAATAAAGATCCATTCATTCATTATATAAAAACTGTTCATTGTCATATTTACTTTTCATAATAATACTTTATCCGATATACATATATGATCTAATAGTTAAATAGATTAACCCGAAAATAATATAATTATTAATCACATTAAAACGGATTAATACAATTTTAACGCAGGCGATAACTCCAATTTCCAACCATAATAATTTTGTCTGTATTTGAACTATATTTAAGTATATGTTTGGCATTGATGCTGCAGATCAGAAAATTGTGTTAATGTGTGAATTGGATGCATCGTTTTCTGAAAAAATGGTGTCTTTTTTTATTTGGAAACAGTGTTGTCAAGTACGATGTTTCCTAGGAGTTCAAATCAACCTCCCACAAGATTACCCCCCCCCCCCCAACATCCTACAACACATCCCCATTGTATATTGGGAACACCTCTCGATGATAATACCAAAATAATGATGTCATCATTGGGAGATGTTCCCAATACACGGTGGGGATGTACTGTGGGACGTAGTGGAGGGCTGATTTGATCTCGTTTCCTGGAGCAATAACAACGTATTTTGTTTGGTACCAATGCTCCAAAAAATATTTTCAACACTGATACCTATTATTCAGTGCCACATCATGTCCTTGCCACTGTCACCTCATCTCCCTGTTGGCGGCAACGAGCTGCAACTCTAGGAAATATCAAATTGGGTGTTGCTCCAAGCCACGCCTTCCTGATTTTCAAGACGTGGCTTGAAGCATCGCTTTTTATAGAAAAACATATCCAAACAAACAGGCGTTTCCTAAAACACCATTTTTTTCGACGTAACACTAATGTGTCGCCGTTTTCGAGAGCAACGACATGGATGCCAAACAAACTAAAATGTTGTGTCAAAATATTGCGAATTCAAATCATGACCTCCTCACCTAACAGTCCAACACCATATTTTCATAACATGTGGGGTTATATGTACACGGAGCACAGACGTCTTCCCTCGTCATTGGTTACGTAATCTTTCTGACTCCAGTGTTCTCAGCGGGTTCGCATCTGCCCCCCACATACTTGCCCCTCAAAAAAGTCCCACAAAACCGGAATGCGACGCATGTCATGACACACGCGCATTAAGCGAGACGCATGTAAAACCCATTTCACGCCATGAAATGCACCTCCGTTAATTCCTCTCTTGCCCAAAAGCGTTTCTTCTCCCATTCTACTTCGAACTAAAACTCTTGGCGCCGGCCCCCTTTCATAACCCACTCACCGGAGATTAACTCGGTCAACGCCGATGACCATACTGGCAGGAGGTAAGTACTCTGTAAGTTTTTATCATTTTTTATATATATATATATTTTTGTTTTTTTTTTCATTCGTTTTCTAACATTCACAGATCTGAACCTGGCGGAGTGGGAGCCTCTTGACGCCATTTCAAACCCTTGACACCCCTGGAATTCGAAAGCCCTCCAAATTTTGAAACTCTCTGGTCATAAACAATTAAAATTCATAATGGTAAACAATTAAAATTCATAATGGTAAACAATAGTTTGGAAGGAAACATAACTGCCATGCTAGGAACTGTTGGTGTGTTTCAACACTTTGATTGTAAGAGGATATGGCTGACATTCTGTGTTGATGCAGCATGGAGCAATCTACATCAGATGAAGTTCGGGAGCAAGATTATAAAGAGAGAAGCCAAAGGTCTGAGCAGGTTATCAGAAAAAGTACCAAACAAATGTAGTGATATCTTCAAAACACCTTGTTTATTGCTCATGTATGCATTTAGGTAGCTGCTATGTCTGGAAGAGGGATTTTGGTAATAACCAAAGACCAACAGTATTTCTACTATTGTAGAAAGGCAATGTATATTTATTTGTAGATCTGTAGTAGCAGGAGTCATAGTGTCGTGTAGCAAGTACTTAGTAGATATATACTCTCATCAGCACTGGTGCTCCTTTAAATCTTTGCTTTCCATTGTTGTTACATGATCTCTGCAGATATGGCTTCCAGGTCTAAGGCTGCATTTGGCATTCCTTGTTTTAAGGACTCCTTTTTGCGGTTAAAATGCCCCAACACCAAAAAGAGGCAAGTCCTTGAAATAAGGAAAGAAAAATGAAGTTTAAGACTTAAAAATTTTTTACCATTGCTGAAACCAACTGCCTCTTCAGAGAGAGAGAGAGAGAGATCGTATTACGGCGTAGATACTA